TGGGCACTGATCGGTTTCACTGTTGAGGCAGCACTGGTGGGCATTGATGAGGAGGCACTGATAGTCAGCACTGGTGGGCACTGATAGGTTGCAATGATGAGGCTACACTGATAGGCAGCAAAGATGAGCACTAATAGGCAGCACTGAAGGGCACTGACTGGTGGCACTGATAAGTGGCACTGATTGCCGGCACTGATGGGCACAGATTGGCAGCACTACTAGGCAAAAATTGGCAGCACTGCTCGCCACTGGTGGGCACTTTTGGGTGCACTGATAATCAGGGACAGCTTGAGGAAAGTACTTCCAATAACCAGCAATTGTGTTTACATTGTGATCAGCTGTGATTGGACACAGCTGATCATGTGGTAAAAGTCTGCTTTGACCGGCCCTTTACTGTGTCATGTGATCAGCTGTGGCAAAAGGAAACAGCAATCGCAGACAGTACCAGCTGTATGTATGAGCTGCGGGAGCACGAGGGGCGTGTTTCTGGGAGGACATCATCTGACGCCCTCCTAGACCTGGACAACCATGCTGTAGCCGTCATTCAGCTATAGCATGGTCAATAAATGGTTAAAACACATTACATCGGACCTTTCTCATTCCACAATCGGAGATTGAGTTATCAGAATGGTTTGTACTGTGTTCCTGTATGTCTATCCAAGCCAGATATTGTGATCCCAGCCATGATTAATGTTTATCAGTAAATAGTAAACAGGAGGTTCATGTCCATCATTAGCTGTAGTGCAATTTAACACACGCCCCCTCCCTCCATTCCCTGCAAGCCACCTCCACACCACATGGTGTCTTCATTGGACCCTATAGAACTTTACCAGCATGGATATGGCACCCTGTCCATAATGCATGGCCGGCAGCTACTTTTGGACTATCATCAGGACATGGTCACCACACTGGGACTGCAAGCTACAGTTTGAGGCACAGGACCTTGGTGGTCCCATCACACAGTGAGTAGTGGCGACTCTGTATTGCTACCCAGGTCCATATCAGCTGTGCAGGCTTGCACAGGCTGGACTGGTCATACACATTGAGGTTGCTGTGGCAGATACTCGTGTTTGATTGGACTTTAGAAGCTATAGCCCTTCATACCTAACACATATGTTTTTCAGGTTTTCAGGGGTTCATTACATTGCTCATGTAGTGAGGTTGTGTTCTATTGCAGTTTGTAACTATCCATAGGTATATCCCTTTGTCTTGCTACTAGGTGTGTTGGGTTTTTGAATATTTGATTGAGCGGGGTCTGGGGGGTGGGGGGGGTGATAGTGGGCTGGTGTCATACCTCAGCTCCCTCCTTTCTCTTTTAGGGAGGGGGGGTGGCTGGTTGGGTGGGTTTTGGAGGGTCATTATGGGAGAAGCACTCGGGTACCTTGGGAGGTGCTCTCAGGGATGTGTTTTTATTTTTTGGGGGTTTGGGGGGTTGTTGAAGGCGGTTGGGGTTTTTGGGAGGTTTCTTGGCGGTGTTTGTGTTGGGGGGTGAGTTGGGTTTCCATCAGCAAGATGCGGGTGTGGTATACACAGAGAGGACACTTTTTGTACCATCGGTGAGTGTCCTTTGTGGGAGGTTCTCTCTATGCCGGGGTTCGGGGCTGCTGATGATTGGGAGTGAGCACCAGGTCTCCGATGAAATGTGATTTTACTTTGTATGTTTTTTTTAAAAAAATACTTTTTGAGGTTAGCCTTTTAGCTGTGAAGCCTATTTTCTTTTTTTTTCTTGGTTTTTGTAGTATCGCTTTAGGTAGCACCCTTCCAGATTGTTCTGGAGGCACCTCATAATTTTTTTCTTGAATTCTAGTGGACTCCCTGGCTTCCCTATATTCCCCCCTTTTTTCCCCTTCTCATATTTGGTGTCTGTTTACATTTTATCAAACACTGACTAGGTTAAACTAGGTTGTTTCTGCTGATCAGTAGCACTGAAATAACTGCTCATCAGCGGATCTGATACAGAAACTAGGATTTTGGCTGTTAAACTGACATTAAGTCTCAGCATGTACATGTGTGGGCAGGGGATCATTAGGAATGGTCCCTAGCTGATTAAACACAAAGAAACATTTCTTAACACAAAACTAAACCCTCCTATCCATTGCAGCCAAGAAAGCTGCCACCTTAGCCTCTGTTAGGTCTGCAGCTGCCATGGTGCTATCCATGTGATCAGTTATGAAACCAGCCATTTGATGGTTTGACAGTTTGGACAAGAGCACAAACAAATGTGACAGTTAGTAAATTCCTGGCATGCTAGGAATTTATTAAGTGAACAAATGCAGTGCTACAAGTGGAACTCTACCTAAAACCAAATATGATAAAAATACAAAAAATATTAATATACTTATAATTATATACAAAAAATATATACAGTATGTGTTTTCTTCTTAGTGACACTCATTTCCTTCTATAATCACCACGTGCTTCAAACACAAAAGTGCATCCTTCCACCTCCAGATGTCTGCTTTGCTGTTTTTTTTGTCTTCCTCTGGATCAACTGTGGGTATAGGATTAAACTTTTTTTTTTTTTAATGGTTGAACTGGATGGACTTTTTTCAGCCAGACTAACTATGTAACTACAGTATGTAACCTCCAGCAGCGTGACCTCACATAATACTATGTTTTGGTCTGACTGCACTTGTGGTCCCACAATGGACTCTGAAGATCACTTGATGGATTACCAGTTGTAATTCCCACCTAGTTCGAGATGTTAGATCTCACCACCAATTCACTTCATCAATAAAAAATATAAAAAATAATATATACAAATGCATACGTACATGCAAATGGTGTGTACTACTTTTGATAATAATAGCTTGGCAATTTGAGAAAACTGTGCCGTGAAGAGTCAGCTGTATCTGCCTACAGCAGTGTGCGCTCTGATATTGACAACCTTCCAATATAAGGAATAACATCCACAGCCAATGTCGCTATGCTTACCGGCCTGGACGACAATGTATCCTTCAGTACAAGTATATTGCAATCAGTGTGCTCTAACTCTAGTGATCGCCGACTCCGTGTTGCATTGTGACGTCATCCAAGGCTCCTCCCCGATGCGTTTCATCACTCGTCACGTGACTTTCTCAAGGGGAATGTGATTGGACCATACAATGCTAATCGGCCATATATAGAGAGACCACAGTGCCATTTTGTTGTAGATAATTAAGGCACATCTTCTTAAGGGATGCATATTCTATCCTAGTTGGACTAAATCAAAAAAGGAGGATTTGACCTATCCATTGCGGCCAAGGAAGCTGCAGTTGCCATGGTGCTGTCCCTGTGATCAGTTATGAAACCAGCCATTTGATGGTTTGACAGTTTGGAGCACAAACAAATGTGACAGCTAGTATTCCTGGTATGCTAGGAATTTAACTTTTTTAAAATATTCATTTTACCCAAATAGCTAAACTTCCATGCAATGTCCACTTCCTGAGTAGCTATACATATCCTTTTAATACCAGTAGAGAAGGAAAAGGGATATTTTATGTGAAATTAAAAAAACAAATCTAGATCTGCCATGAATAATCAAATGTTTATAGCTTTAACATCATTACATCAGCCAGAAAATCACAGGCAGCCTTGTATTGTTTTAAATAAGGACTGTTTTATGCTTTTCAACAACCACCAGTCATACTCAAATCTCCCAGGTAAATGACAGAGGACAGATTTTGAATCTGATCAGTGGCAGTGTGTTCCTATTTAACCAAACAATGAATGAGACCAGTTATTATCTCTGAAAGGAGTGAGTGTAGTGAGTTGCATGTAAATGCCCTTGTAACTAGCAAAAATGGGATTAATAAAATGTTTCAATGAGTTTTTTTGATGTTGTTGCGTTTACAGTGGAACTACTAATGCCCTTCTATACCCTTCACTTTACTGCTAAGGCTGGTTATAGGTTGGGACAGTTGCCTTTTTTTGTGTAGTTGGCTCATTTGGATGCAGGGACACACTGGATACCTTTGCTGTCATTTTGGTATAGCTGAGAGTCATGTGCATCCCTGTACCTTTAATGAGCGATTGGCTCCTCCAGGCACACCTACTCTTAACCTATCCATTGATCTATGTGCTCCTACTATGGAGGTTCTGTAAATTTTAGAGTTAGGTTCACAGTATACAGAGGACCCTTGACGCAAAACTGTGGCTTACGCATGTATTTGCAAATGTGTGGAAACAAAACTGTCTGTTTTTAACGCAAACTGTTAGTCAAGGCCAAGTTGGTTGTTGTGCAGGCTGGCTGGTAAATGCTGCTGGGAAATCCTTTGTTTGTTTGCAACATGCATTGCTCTTCCATGTGCACCTTACTGCTAAGGCTGGTTATAGGTTGGTACCTTTGCCATTTTTTGTGTTGTTACAGTGGAACTAAACCCATAAACGTAAGGGCAGACATTAGTTTTTTCTGCATGCATTTTGCAAGGCCACAACACAATCTATTTTCTCTATGTGCCCTATTCACACCACAACCCTAGTATCACATACAGATTTTTTTTCTACGCAGGAATCTGCAACGTGTATAAAACTCATTGAAACGCACATGTAAACTGATGTCTCTGCAAGTGATATCTGTGCGTCAGTTTCCATCAGAGTTCATGTACGTATGGTGTGAATGAGCCCTAGCTGTTTCCCAAAACAGTAAAACTCCCAACATGCCGGAAATGCTAACTGTCATATTTGCTTGTGCTCTTGTGCAGACTGTCAAACCATCAAATGTTTGGTGTCATAACTGATCACATGTGCAACAGCATGGCAACCGAAGATCAAACAGAAACTTAGATGGCAGCTTCCTTGCCTATAAAGGAAAGGAGGGTTTAGTTCTGCTCTAGGGTAACTTGTGCCCAGGACTGTATTTAGCCATAATGCTGCTCTAGACAAAATACCAAAGTAATGATCTATTGTACAAGTTCCCTCCCATGTGTTATGCAATTATTTTTGTGGATATTAATGCTAAAATATACTACTGATGGTATCATAGGGATTTATTTAGAGTGTTACTAAACCCAGGACCCTGCATTCATTATATCTGGTTTCCCTCAGTACACACTACATGAAAATGCAATTATTTTAGTAAATATAAACTGCCAATTATTTTTTCTCTTCACCAGTTAGAGCAGTCTTGTGACTTCTATCAGTGTTCAGCCGAGCACTGGTTAAAGCTTGTAGGAGTTTTATTTCTGCTCTAGGAGGATGTAGAACCCATTACCTCTGTCTGGACAGTGCTGATTGGCCCTGTGCTGATCACATGCACTCTCCCAAGAAAAAAACCTCTCTAGCAATACACACCAAACTGAGCATGTGCAGAGTGTCTCCACACAAAATGTGTTATCAGGAGATAAGAGAGGGGCACTGGAAGAAGGAGGATCATATAAATCAGGATCAAACAACATTTTTACACAATGCAGGGGATTAACCCCTTAGGTTCCATAGTGAGGATAACAAGCATGCTGTACTGCATATACAGACTGATTTTACTGTTGTGGATTTAGTAACATTTTAATAAATCTGGAGAGTGCAAAATCAGGCTCACTTCTGCATAGAAAACAGTCAGCTTCCAGATTTTATTGCCACAGCCTAATTAAACAAGCTGAAGTTAGAAGCTGATTGGTTTCTATGCAGAAGTGATCCTGCCTTTGCACTCTCCAATTAAATAAACCCATAATGTCCACTTTGTATTATAGCTACTTTTTTAACTGTAATGACCACCAAACCAGAGAAAGTAGAGTAAAAAGCTGAGTTTGTGTTATTCGAACTTTAGTTGGTTGAATATCCAGGCAAGTTGGTTGAGCTTAGACACCTTGTTACAGGAAGTAGATTTTGATCAATTTGACTTGCAGGATCAACAGGTACTTTTATGTAATAAACGGAAACAAAATATATCAGTACTGTAATACGAAGCTTCATATATTCATGCCATACCAGCCTTTCTCAACCAAGGTGCCCAGGCACCCTGGGGTTCCTTGAGGTTTCTTCAGGAGTATCTTGGCAAATGTTTAAAAATTGCCCAAAACTTGTATACAAGCCAGTGGGTGGAACAAACCTACATTTTAGTTACACAAAACCACAGGTTTTCATTGTGCACCATTACGACTTTCTAGCCGCCAACGTCCTGACAACCAGTTACATCATCAGTTGATAAGGAGGATGTCAGCTGCCTGCACAGCATCTTAGTTTGACCCTCCCCTGCCCCTCTCCATCAGTGCTGGGGTCACACTAGCTCAGTGATGGAGAAAAACTGGGGAGAAGAGAAACACTGGAATACTAGTCAGTACCAGTGCAAAAGTGTATTTTGGAAGAATAAATCACCTCTAATGTTCGGTGTCCTACACATGCGGATGTTGCTGCATTGTATAAAACTATTAGAATAGTTTTTCACATTTTAGAATGGGGTGCCCTTTTAAAATTATGGACAGCCTTGAGGCACCCAAATTTTAGAATGGGGTGCCTCAAGACTGTCTATAACTTTAAAGGGTGCCTCTGGACTGTTCATAATTTTAAAGGGTTGCTTGACTGAAAAAAAGTTGAGAAACACTGTGCTATACCATATATGCAATTTTAGTTTTTAACCAGATATACACTTTAACAACTGCAGGCAGGTTTAAGCCCCAGTACAGCTTGGCATTGTTACTAATAAACCCATTTTCCAGCTCAGTTTCATAAAGCAGTTACAAGTAGTGAAATCCCTCACTATGACATACAGTTGATGTTTCAGAAACCATTTGTCTAATTCCAATGAAATACTTCCTCACATGTAACGAACCACAATGTCTCATCCATATTAAATTATTTCCACTGCTAGAGTTAAAAATGAAAGATTCCTTTCCAAAAGTGGAAACTAATTTAATTGTACTTACTAAATCATTTATATTTGATCAATTATTCAAAAACCATCTTAATATTAGCAAGGTCATAAATGTCTAAGATGTTTAGATTTTTTTGCTTTGCTCTTTTATTTCAATTATTTTTCATACAGTTAAACATTTGGAACTAGGTCACAATGATTTCAAAGATCTTTATATTAACCTCACGTTTCACAACACAATTTCTGACTTCATTTAGTTCTGTAAGAAAGAGGCTGAATATTTGTGGAAAGATTGTTTTCTAACACATGGAATAAAATACCTATCACTGATAATAGTATCCATCCTAAACAGGGGCAGACTGACCATTTGGAAACTCGGGCACTGCCCGAGGGGCCCGGGGTCAGTAGGGGGCCCCATGAGATGCCCCTGGTACCTTTTTCATAGGATTTTTTGAGTTTGGGCAAGGACACAGGGGCCCCATGATCCCCTATTGCCGGGGGCCCCATGAGTTGTCAGTCCGCCCCTGATCCTAAATGTATTTTCTGATTTTATTGCAGAGTCTGGTGCTTTAACAGCCATATAATACTAGATACAAGCATTATAAAATAAACAAATGGTGTTTCCTTTCTTCCTAAATCTCTTCATTGCAGAACGGCATTGTGCTTCTTTTGCTGCAATAATGCAATGCAGCCCAGGAAAATTCATCACTTTGAAAAGCTGTTGATCATATTCTGTTTTTCAAAAAGAGCTGTAATATTACCTTCAGGTCTCTAAACAAAATAAAACACCAATTCCTTGCAACAGAAAAGACAGCATACTCACCTCTTAGGTGACCCATGTCTCCAAACTTTTTTTCTGTTCCAGCCCTTCGACTTCTGAAAGTGTCTTGGCATTCAGTATTTTTGGCATTGTCCCCGCTTTATGCTGTGAATTCCTTCCTCCCACCCAGCTGTGATGTAGAAGTTGGAGAAAGGACCATAGCATGCAGTGGAGGATGTGGGTATCCAACAATCTTAGAAGTGTTGAATGCCAAAGAGTCTAAGTGCCCGGTCATACCGGTGCAATTTGTGAATTGAAATCGCACCTAATGAATGTGAATGTCAGTGCCTTAACATGTGCGATTTGCCGCAGTGCAATTTCTAAAGTAGTCCTTGCAATTGTGATTTCACATACATAGAATATAATGGAAATTGCAAAGAGAATCACAAGAAATCATTGAAAATCTTCACAAGGTACAATAAAGTCATCAAAATCTCACCCAAAATTGTGCAGAAATTGCACAATTTTAAATCAAAGCAGTGTGACTGGGGACTTAAGGAGGTTGCAACAGTGAAATAGAGAGAAGGCAGTAGCCATGGGCAGCTGGAGGGGTGAATATGCTACCTTTTTTGTGCTTTAGGGAACTGGTGTTTTGACACCAAACAGTCTCTGTAAACCCCATCTCCAGCCAAAACTATATTCCTTAGTTTTGGACAGAGTGAGAAAGGAATAGAATATCTGTCCAGCTTTTGTGGTTTGTGTTCCATTTGAGAAGCAAAACAAAAATGGCAACCACCCCAATTTATATTTAGCATCTAGATCAGGGATGGGCAACTGCAGCTCTTGAACTGTTGTGCCACTACATGTCCCATTATGCATTGCAAAACTGACAGTTACAAGCATGACTCCCAGAGGCAGAGGTATGATGGGACTTTTATAGTTTTGCAACAGCCGGAGGACCACAGTTGCCCACCTCTTATTTCGAGTAAGGTGTAGATGGAAGTATTTTGCGCAGAACAAGCAAAACAAGTTTACTGTAATTTGCATTAAGACACATTGGACAGTTTCAGCTACCAGTGTGCTCCGCTTGGCTTCTGGTGTTTGCCTGCCCCTTTAAGAAGCCAAAACTTTATGACCTCTCAGCTAATATTGAGTAGATCCCCCTTTTCCCACCAAAACATCCCTGACACGTTGAAACACGGATGCCACTAGACCTCTGAAGGTATGCTGTTGTATCTGGCACCAAGCCATCATTAGCACATCTTTTAAATCCTGTAAATTGTGAGGCGGGGCCTCCATGGATTGGACTTATTTTTCTAGCACCTCTGACAAATACTTGATTGGAATGAGATCATGAGAATTTGGAGACTAAGTCAACACCTCAACTCATGGTTGTGTTCCTCAAACAGGGTTCATTAGACTGTTGAAAGAAGCCACTGACATCAGGGAATACTGTTTCCATTAATGGGTGTATTTGGTCAGCAACAATGTTTAGGTAGTTGACATTTGTCAAGTAACATTCACATGAATGATAGGACCCAAGGTATTCCAGCAGAACATTGCCCAAAGCATCACCATGCCAGCATTTTATCTGCTTTCAACACATCAGCTTCCAGCTTCCATGTTTACTTGCTGCCTAATATATCCCACCGACTTCTAGATGCCATTGTAACAAGATAATCAATATTATTCATTTAACCTGTTAGTGGTCATACTAATGGCTGATTGGTATGCTCTCATAGACCAGATATAGCACGGCCCTAAACAGAGAGGCAGTGCAGCATCCATACATATTTGCAAATAATGTATAACTAAAACATCTGTCTTTAATGCAAATTGTTAGAAATAGCAATTAGTTGTTTTTTTTTTTTCTGTTTTGTTTTGGGTTGTTTTGCTAGCTGGCTGGTAAGTGTACTGGGAAATAAATTTTGTTCTGTTTTAGATTCTTTCCTGTCAGGAAAGGAAGCAGTGGGAAATTTCCCCAGTGGGGACACAGACTACAATAAAACAGTCCCTTTTGTCTGTAAAATGGAAAAGGTTTAGAACATCTGGCAAGTTATTATTACTGTTTGTTTTTCCTGTTCTAGTGACAATCGTAGTCTTCATTTTATGTCCTGCTGTCACAGGGATAGGACATGAAGTCAAATCTCCTAAGTGGAGTTACAAAGAGTACTAAAATTTGAATGAAGTATTTACTAAAATAAAAACAAAAAATAATTTTGACTGGGACTTTTAAATCATGTAAAAAGTTCATAGGATTTCAGAGAGGAAGATATCCCTTCTGTATTTATTCAAAAAAGGTTTCAATGCAAACTTACAGAAAGGACAACTCCAGACAACTATGTGGGCTTCAATTTGAGATTTTAGCAACCACAACCCCCTGGATGATTACAAGAAACACTGAAGGAAATGTGAGACCGTATTAGAAGAAGTGAGATGGGTAGGGGTGTGTCGCAAGAATACGCGGCCCTTTGCAGGAGAAAAGATAGGTCATCATAGAGTTACATAGTTTACATGATTAAAAAAAGAGACAGGTCCATCCAGTTTAATGTATCCTCGTCGGAGACCTTAGAACAAACAGTTTAGTACAGACACTGAAGTCACTTTTGACATATGTGTACATTGAAATCATATCCCCTGGTACTAAACTCTGCATAATACTCACCTCCAACTTCCAGAACCAGCTGCTGTCATCTTCTTGCCAGGCTACTTTGGGTTGCAGGCTATGCAGCCATTTGACTGAGTGTGCCTGGAATGCATGCTGGGATTTGCATGTGTGTCTTATTGCATTTTATTGCAGAAAAACACATAGCATGTCTCTTCTACAATAAACAGTTGCCTGTTTGCAGTTTTTAAACTTTAAGGGTTTCTTCTGCAGAATGAATAATTGTAATCTATGTAATTGATCTTCATAGTTGAGGTTATTC